TTTTTTTTTTTTTTTTTTTTTTCTTTTTTTTTTTTTTTTAAGCAACCATAGCTGCTAGTGATTTACTACATTTTTCACTGAACTCTGATATTTTGGAGAACAAGTGAGACACTTGCGTGTGAACATCCAGGTAATTTTTAATGGCACATCACCCAGATGAGGTGAATAATGATGTTGTCCAATTATAACAGATACATACAACCACTAATATTGTAGCCTTACTTCAGCTTAATTTCTTCAAATGTAGCTTGCACATGGCATTTCAAAGAGTTTTAATGATACAGGAGGCCTGTAGAATCTGTTATTAAGATCATTGAAACCTAAGAAAGACTGACGGTAACTAAATTTCACTAAGTGCCCATTTTAAATTAGTCAACTCAAGCTAATTACTATTTATACATTTTTATAAAATTAATTTAATAATCAGAGTAGAAGCAATAATTTGGGGCAGATATTCTATTTTGTTCATGTGTTATAATGAAATTGAATCCCTGATGTGACCTGGCTTGACTTGAAGCATGGTATCACAGCCAGTGATTCCATAATTGACTAAACTGTGAAATAGTTTATGCATCACAAACATAGATCTATCATAAAAAATATGAATTACATAATTCAAAATCCAACATATATTTACTGTATCTATAGTTCATAAAACGTAAATATAGCAAACACCAACTTGCAACTGTACCAGAAAAACTGCAATTTCACGACAATTAAGTCTGAACAAAGTACGCTATATAAAATATATATTTAATTTGTACAGGAGTTAGGGTCATCTCCCACAGCAATAAACTTTCCTTCATCAGAAAAAAATCCAGCATTGCAGAGCATTTTTCCAGTGTGTTTTTATTAGGGATTCCTGCCATCATATCAACATACAAAACAATCAGGATGTTGACATAGAAATGTGAAATTCACTGTACAAAGATAAGGCTCTAGTTACAGGTACATTTCCCCCAAGTCTTTTGCATTTCAGTGAAGTAAACCCATTTTTAAATTCTTCCCAGAGTCGCATTTATAAATATTAGACAAACCACAAAATAGATTTCAAGTACATAACATTTTACAATATATTCCAAGCACAGACAGAAATACACAATACTGTACCTACATAATTCATAATTCGGCTGTCATCTTGAACACTAAGACATTGGTGTGTGTGTATGCAAACATGTATGCATATACATACACACACACACACACACACACACACACATATACATATATACATATATATATAATGCCATACTGTATACCAGCTCATTTTTATGAATGTTGTCTGTGTGTGTTAGAGTCCTGGCCCTTTAAATTTCAACTGATATGTAGCAAAATCTTCCAGAAACTCCGTGTTTTTTTCAGCAAAATTTACCTGATAGAGCAGAAAGTTACCTGTTTGATAGGAGGAATTTTAAAAGGCAAGGGCTGTATGTACACACATACAGTAAAGGCACATATACACACACTTGCATTTAACCCTACGTATAACCTTATTGCACTGTGCGCTCTCTGAGGTTATCTTTTCCTCATGCAACTCAGCCATTTGCAGATAGATTTTAATCAAGCAAAACATATGCTCCAATTCTTGGAGTTCTACATGGACAAGACTGCATTTTAGAACACTGGACCTAACTTTTTATAATTATGGGACTTAATAAATAGGACCCGGCATGGAACTATCTTCCTGTACTCTAGAAAGTTGCCTGCTCTTACAACCATCACCATCCAGGAACCCTCAGCTCACAACTTTATATAGAAGCTATATATATATATATATATATGAATAGGAACTATACAAAAATAATTCCTGTTAAAGCCATATGTCTACTTTAGTTTGCTGCAAAAAATTCTAGTGGACTGGATGATTCGTGTCTAAAGGGAAAGGACCGTTTAGCTGCAAGTTACACAAGATGAAATATGCACCAACCAACCAACTAATAATCATCCTTATTAGGAACCTACTTATGAAGAAAGACAGAATGAAAAGACAGGAGACTGAATGGCTCTATTTCACCTTTGTTGTTGGGAAATGGGGAAGAATCCAGAAGTTGACAATTAGGAAGAGAAATTCCTAAAAACTATGAATGCTATATCATTTTAAAAGGGGTGGAAAAGAAAAAGAATAAACAACTTCGTGGGAAATTTCAGTTTTTAAAATGGTTGTGCAAAGTTCACTAGCTTAAATTGAAGAAAATCAATACATCAGCAATGATGCTTTAAAAAAGAAAAGGATCTGCTATGATGATGCTCCAGTTTCCAAATATAATTTCATTTTTCTTTAGCTTTTGGGGATCTACTGATTTTCTCAATGCTCACAAGGTTTTTTGTATGAATATTTTCTAAACAATAATGTGAACTACTGCAGATATACAATTCCTTGGTACATTAAGACAACAATAGACCTCTATGACTAGTTTCATACGCAGAGGGAAATAATGCAAATGCACTGACATACATACAGAGTAAGAATCAGCACACACAGGAAATGACAACACAGTTAATGAGGATTCTCTGAGATTAATAAGAAAGGGAATCAGGGACCAGTATGTTTCTCTTAATAATGTTTTATCCTTTTATTATTCGTAGAAGACTGTCACATCAACTGTATAGTCTAATGCTTCACTGTTTAAAAGACCATCAAAAAAAGGTAGGTCACTCACCTACTGGTCTAGCTAGACAATTTTTGGTACTTACCATCACTTCAGGTTTCCACGTTATGTACAATTATCTACATTTATTTCAAAGATCCATCACACCCTCTTACAAAACTTGCTTGGACTGTCTTAAAGGTTTTTCTGCAGCACTGATTGAAGAATTAGATGACAGGACGCAGATGAAGATGGATGATCATTTTGTCAATGATATTCACCTTCCCAGTCTTTAGCACTGTGCCATTTAGAAGCATATTTGATGATTCTGTGTCATTTCATCTCCCCTCAGCAGCCCCCACTAAACTTGAGCAAACTTACTGTACTTTGCCCAGACCACAGGCCAACTTGTATCAAGCTATAACAGATACTGTCCAGCCAAAATATTTTAAAAACAAATCATTGTTAAAACATTAAAAAATCCCCATACATCCCCTTGTGCATTATTCTTACCAATCTGTACATTTAAATAACTTCAGGAGTTGTCAATTGCTAAAAATTTACCAAAATATTTTAAACACATCAAATTGTTAAAAAAAAACAAAAACAGAAAAACAAACCAAGAAACAAAACCCAGCATAAACATTGCTTGTATAGGCATTGGTTAGAAGAGATTCTTACACTAAGGAATATATTCAAAAACACCTCTCTCACTAAATTTCAGACTCCAAATGTCATGGCTTGTAAGGTTACAAATGATGAACCCAGTCGTGCATAGCATGATACAATAGATGAACAGGAAATCTGAAATGCAATAAAAATAAAACCTCTTTTTGGTTATTTAAAGGCCACCTTATAAGCCTGTAATGAAAGCAGTTATTTATGTAAAGTAAACTTAAGAACTTGAGCAGTCTTATGGACTGAAAATGAAGTCAACTACCTGCTGATGGCCCCACAAGCATTGTGAGAAGCTTGCACTAACTGATATTTTGAATATAGCCCTTAGTTGTCTCGCATTTTTTTTTTTAATTTAAGAGCTGCCCAGCATGTCAAAAATGAAGTTTATTTTGCAAGCCACCCATTGCCTGAGAGGGCAGTAATATTCAACGTGAAACTGCTGGAACTCTGGTGTCTGACGAATTTCATGGAGAAAGGAGATATTGAGATCTGACTCCAAGAGAACAAGGAGAAGGGGGAACACAAACAGCAACAGTCCAAGACCTACAAGAAGAAGTCTGGAGAAACTCTTCACAAAGGCATTGACCTGTATGTTGCCCATCAGATAGTCATAGCTACACCTAAGTGCTCTCCGGGCTTCTTTCAGCTCCTCTTCTTCTGCAACCAAAAATGCATTTTCATCCACTTCCAGTTCCTCAAATGAATCAGTGTCGTCTTTGTCATTCTCTGCCCTCAAAGGGGTATCAAAGAGCATGTCAATCTCATTTTCATCAACTGGGGTGGGCAGCAAGCTGGCACTTGGGTTGTATACCAGTTCTGAGATGGTTAAGGGTTCCTCTTTGATTTTCTCTTCCTCCTCAATTGTGAAATCTACACTCTCCCTAGCATCCTTAACAGGGGAGCTCGCTATCACAGGAACTGAGATCTCATCTTCCTTTGGCAGCTGGATACCTAAAACAGAAGGAAAAAAAGAACCTTAATTCTAGTGAACTGAAATTTCTGATGTCAGAAAAGACCAAGTCAGCCTTCAGTAAGACATTTTAGAGAAGATGCCCCAGATGAAATATCCCTTAGGAACAGAGGGGTGCAAGGAGAGTTCAGTAATCATATTCCTATAATCTGTTCCCTTAAATAGAATACACGTCCAGCCACTATCTGAAATTAGCAGAATAACTAATATAGTGTCTTTGTAATTCCACCCAATCAAACAAGAGCTTTTTTTTACAGAAATGCAATACTCCAAAACTTGACACTCGTTTACCTTTTTAGCTACCAAACACTTCTACATATACTAATTGCTCTTCATTTAAAAACAACAGATGAAAAGGGTGCTGCTATAAAATATATATCCCATCCCTCGTTTGAAATTAGCAATGAAGTGATAGATAATAGATAGAAATTTACATAATTACAAAATTTACCCAATACCATAAAATGCCATGGCATTTAGGTAAATTCCTATCAAGAGAAATGGAACAAAAGGGGAACTGGGTTTATACATAGTGCAGAGAACATATATGGATGAAAGAAAAAACGTGTTTTAATAGCAAAGATTCTCCCTATGAAAGATCTCTCATTCATATATTCTCTGTCTTTGTTAATGGTCTCTGTCTCCATTACTGTCTCCTTTATGGTCTTCTCTCTCTCATTCTTACCAATCTGTCCCTCATCTCTCTTCCTCTAAAATCTCTCCCCTCACTTTCTTCTTGTCCCTTTCAAACTTATTGTATTCACCCAACATGAATAACAAAACAGTGAAAGTAATTTTAAAATCTCAAAGTGTTCTGTTTGGGTCCTGACTGTGATGTAAAGGCTTCAAAGATGGGTCATTTTCAAATAGCTTCAAGCTAATGATCAGCAGCAGCATGGCGGGAATAAGCAAGGGAAAGAAAAGGAACAAAGCAACAAGTGGCAATCAAAGACACATTTGATTTAAAACAACAGGATGGTATTGAGAAAAGAATTTCAAACTTTCCCCATGCGTAACTTATCTTAGCATCTGTGGAATGGGACCAAAACCCGCATGTGATGATATGAATGTTAAAATAATAAAATAACTCATGGAGCGTCTCATTTTAGGATGCTTACCATCTGGGAATCTCTCAGCACTTGCAAAATGATTAGTAAAGTCTCACAACAGATATACAAAGTTGGCAGTTTCCTCTGTGGATGGCAAAACCCATCCTGAAAGGTTAAGTGACTTGTCTGAAGTCACCAAGGAAGTCCACGTCAGAATGCGATTAGCACTCAACAAGGTCAGCTCCTGTCACTTGCTTTAAGCAAAAGGCTAGGCCCATATAGGAACCAAAACACTACTGTATTACTCCATATTTAACAGAGTTATGAACATGTCAACCTGGAATAATCCAGCGGAGAATCAGGCCCAGTTACTCTCGGATATCTTTGGCTAAGATAAGATGCATGAGCATCTCTACAGGGTAATAGGAAACAACTGACAAGTCCATGTCAACTGTTTCCTGTACAGAGTGCTAAGCAAGAGAGTGTGCTAACTGCAAAGCCCTACTAAAAGAGAACAAGTACAAAGTAGCATTTAAAAGGCACAGAAACTTTTACTTAAGATCACCAGAAAAATGTAAAATTCTGGATAATATTCTATAAAATTCAGCCACAATTTTCTACCCCTGTAATCAAGAGATGTGCGATAGCTTTGTAAACATATGGTACAGGGTAGGAACTGAGAAACCATTATCCTGAGTTATAACAATAACTACACGCAAGATCATTCTTGTGTACTTTGTATTTCTCGTGCCACACCCCTTTTCTGCAATCCTATCATTGTAACTCAGTTCAACGGAAGACCTATGCACATTTCTTAACAGCCCACTCCTTCCATCATGAATGATCTAGCTAGACATTTTTTGTTACATACCATCACTTCAGCATTCCATGTTATGTACAATAATCTATATTTTCAACATTTTCAGATCTACATTAAAGGTAATTAAGTGACCAGATTTTCAGAGATGCTGGGTGTCCATGTAATCCAAAGGGTAATAAAAAGTAAATCGTGCAATTTACTTTTATGCTTAAGCATGGATTTAAGGACCTAACTTTAGCCATCCACATCTGAGAATTTTGACCTGGCGCCTTCCTATACCTGCTTAGGGACAAGGTCACTAATATCTTCCCATCGTATTTCCTACCATCTAGGGAACAGCTGCAACTGTTCTAAGAAAGGTGACCCTTACATAAACAATTTTGCACTTTCTCTCCTTTCCCCCTGGCCAATTCAAGTGTACATGAGATGTATAGTTCACCTAAATGGGAAAGATGGTATTCATATGAACCAATATTATTCTCATTCAACCATCTGGCAAACTTCATTTGACCCTGCTGTGAATGTACAGAAAGAAGGCAGAAATGCAAATACTGACAGCTCATAGTTTTCTGAGGGGTTTCTAGGAGGAGTTAAGAACTGAAATGCTCCAAAGCTGACATCAATGCAACAGCTCCCTTAGTCAATAGAAGCTAATGATTTAGGAGAAAGATAATCAGAGGAAAATACATAGAAAAGCCAAACCCACAAGTGCTATCAATCCATGCTATTCGGTCATTTACTAAGACAGTGCTTAAAAAAGAATAGTACACTTGGATGTTAGTGATGAATTGTAGAAGTTTAAGGAAGTCAAAATTGCATTCTGAATGATGCAAATACAGAATAATCTAGTTTTGCATATCATGAATAAATGCCCTATAAGGAGTTAGCAAAATAAATGCAATCTTTAGCTTTTACCACCTGGTAATGTAGGCTTAATGTTAGAAAAGTGCCCTGGTAAACATGGCGTGGCTTATGAACACAGAAGCAATTTACTACAAGGTAAGATGCATTGCAAATGGTCTCTGTATCAGGTCCTTTTACTCTGCAAAACAGCCTGAGTGCACATTCCTCCTCTCGCAGCAAATGCACTTCAACAGAAGGTCAAGCTACTGTGCATTTTCCACAGAATAAGGGACTGCAGTTACCCCAAAGTAGCTGACATCCTGAAAGTTTGCATGCTAGCTAGTAGTACCTCAGGTGTTTTATACCACTTGAGCCCAGATAAAAGTGACTACAGGTATGCGTAGCACTCAAAAATAAGGGCCAGAGTTTCTAAGTGCCCATACTGCAAGGTCCATTTGAAATTTAGAAAACAGAACAATCTGGGTTCTCCCCCTTCATACTCAGCACATGCTATAATATTACCACTGTCCACATCAATGTTTTGGTCATAGTACAGTACGCTAGTATGCATTTCAGACCCAATACGTCTCATCACATTTTGACAGAAGATCACATACATCATGGCATGGTGTCATATTATAACCCATATGGCACTGCACCATTTATTTTGCACAGCATAAGAATGCAGGGTCAAGGTGCAGAAATTCAAATGCCATGACACTGGTTCACATACATTTTCTTCTTAGAAGCTGGCACCTTTGCTTAGCTTTTGGATATATTTCCAGAGGATCTAAATTTCAGCTTAACAAAAGTGATGAATCTGAGTTTAAAAACAATCCCCCAAAATTTTGTGATCCTCCTGAAGCAGCAGGGAAAGCCCAACACAGATTTACAGCCAATTTTATCTAACTTAATGAGTAACAATCCTAAAAATCTTCTGGACTTGCTTGTACAAAAAGGCTATTTTGCCTTCAGTCCTTTGAAGCCACAGAGGCTCTGTTATTAAATAAAAGTTTTCTGGGACATTTTCAAGTCCACAGTTCATTAATACCAGTTACAATTTACATTGTTAATAATTTGATTTAAAAGAACCTTTGAACTCAATATTAAATTACATCCCAGAACATTGATTCTCTCATTCATTCTTTCTCTGCTTTTATAGGCAATTATATGCTTTTTGTGACATGTTATTGGCATCAGATAATGTCTAACTGTCCACACTTTTATCTCCTATTTCCAAAAGTTTGCAACATTTTTCTGGCAGCTGTATCAGTTTTATAAAGGAAAATCCTGTTGTACCAGCCAGACGTCAGTACTTCTCTGCTCTGTCTCTGGAAAAAGTTGGGATGACTCCAGACCTTAGATTCACAACTACAAATTAGAACATGAACAGCTGAGTACGAGACAAGCACTGCAGCAGCTGTACACAGTGAACCAGACGAACTGGACCCCTGGCACCCCCAGGCCAAAACAGCAGCTGAGGATTAGCAGGGTGGAGAGGAACCCTAGCAACACCATTATATTTACAACAAATATAAATGATTCACAATGAAACAGAAGACAAATATTATATCTCTAATAAAAAATTCAGCTGTGAGTGGATTCATTGCACAGCTCTACAGAAAAGGAGGAAAAAAAAGTTTTTTGTGTTCATTGTGGGTTTTTTTTAATTAAGGGAATGAGAAATTAAATTTTGATGTGAGGGGTGGAGGGTGGGAGGGAAGAGAGTTCCTTGCAATGCAAAATTACATACAGTGAATATCATTAACTTTTCCAGGAACGTAAGCCTTGATAGATGAGATGCTCAAAAGCAATATTAAAATACCAGGGAGAAATTTCATAATGACACAAGCAGAACAATTAAAACTGAGATGAAGCAGATTTCCCCAGCTTTTAGCAGGGGAGAAAAAACAGACCTCCTTGTGCCTACATCCAGTTCAACTGCTTGGCTTTTAGTGAAGGGAGTATTTCCTTGATTCAAATCAGGATGAAATTCAGCTGTGCAAGGCCCAACACAAGCTTATGCCTCATAGTGCCAATGCACAGAAATTGTGAATAGAATAATCATGCCTTTGCATTGACTGAAGTGCTATGGGGAAGGAAGCAGGACCCATGATGAACTGAAACATTAATTGCAACTCCCTCAAAAGTGGCTAGAGTATCACTGCACTGAATTGCCACCACAGCCCTGTGGCCAGGTCTCAGGGTGGGAGGGCATAGATTCTACACACAAACTATTTGTCTTTATACAGAGTGAAGTGAATTTCAC